GAGATACAAAAATAACAAATTTGACATCAATGTGCTAATAGGGCAAAATTGAAGCCCAACTTGTGTTATGTACTATTCAGTGTCAAATTTATCATTTTTGTATCTTGAGGAATGTTTTGAATTTTGATTTGAATTTTTGTGACAAGATACATTGATGTGGTGTCAATGCATTATTATTTTCTAGATTTTTTCATACATTTTTTAACGTGCAACGGTGGACCGGCATATCGGTAGCACCAATTGTCTCGGTGCACCAGATACATCCCAAGTAAAAGGATGCAGTGGTCGGATGGAGAGTGGGTGAAGAAGGAGCACATATTTTTTTTCGAAACTGAAGGAGGAGCACATATGGGAGCACATGTGGGAAGTAGGCAAGCCGCGTCGCCCAACTTGACGGGGCGACACACATTGCATCAGCTGTTAGGATAGAAGTTCCTCGTCTTCATATCAAACTGCTCACGCACCCACTTCGGCTATGCTTTTAAGCTCAACATCGTGCGTCCATTTGACACCATCTTCTACGCCGGTCATTAGCTCATGGAGTTCCCTGGCTTCCGTCTACGTTGGTGCAACATGGTTTCCCAGTGCTGTTATCTATGGCGTACGGTCAGCACCCGCGTGTCCGTTGTTAATCGGTCGCCTGGAGAGGAGAATGACCACTTACGTGGGTTGTAGCGTGCGCCAAGTTGAACCCCTCTTGTCGATGTTCTTTGTCTTGGTCATGGAGGTGTTGTCGAGGTTGCCTTGACCAACGGCCTGCCAAAGGACCTCCTGGGCAGCAGGGGAGCATGACTTACACCTATATACGCCGATGACACGATCATCTTCTTGAGGCCTGATCCTGAGGAGTGAGGATTGCACCCTCATGTGTGAGTTTCTATGTGCACACAAACTTTCACTGGGCCTACTTTGATTGAAATATATAGGACACAGATATCTGACGAACATTCGGTCCGGGGACCTTCGAGACTGAATGAAACGTTCGGTAGGATCGCTCCCCCCAGACGAATGATTTCATTCGATGGGCGAATCCCCCGCAGCACGATCACCCCTCCCATTGGCCCTACAAGCCTTTTCCCTGCAAAAAACGAAAATGGATAAAAAAAGCCCAGTAGAGAAACAAAAGGAAGAAGTCTAGATCTTTTCTTTTTTGCGCCAAATAAAAGCACAACTTTTGCTCTGCTAGAAAAAAATGCATCAACTTTGAAAGCAGAAAAATTGCCATGGAAAATACCAAAAATTTGCCATTATATTTAAGATTTGCCATCATATTATTTTTTACAATGGCAAGGTTTATGAACATATTTGATTCCTAAGAAAAGCATGGCCAAAATTCAAAATTGCCATGGCAAAAATATGTTTCAGAAAATGACATGGACTAAAATGTTCTATAGATCATGATCCATAGACTAAAAAAATGACATGACCATACAGTATAAATTCCATGATGCATAGGCTATATTTGCCATGGGCCATGGCAATTTTGTTGGATCATGATCCAGAGATTAAAAAAAATGCATAGACTATAATTTCCTGGCATGATCCATTCAATAAAAATGTAGAATAAAAAATGCCATGATCTATACACTATAATTTTCATGATGCATAGACTATATTTGCCATGGCCCGGTGCAAAAGAAATTTGCCATGTTGCAAAAAGGGAAGAAATTTGCCATGGTGCATATAGTAAAAAAAATGCCATGATCCATAAAATACAATTGTCATGCTCCATGAAAGTAAATTGCCATTGTCCAAATAAAAATTAATTTTTGATGTGTTGTAAAAGAAAGCGAAAATTGCCATGATCCCCAAACTAGATTTGCCAGGCTCGAACAACTTAATTTGCCATGGTCCAATAAAAAATTTGCGATGGTATTAAACGAAAAACATGGGTAAAACTAATGTTGCCATGTGTCATGGCAACTTTGTTGGAAATGTTCTAGATATTATGATTCGTAGACTACAAATGCCATGATCCACACAATATAATTCCCATGATACGTACACTAAATTTGCCGTGATCATGTTCAAAAGAAAATTTGCCATGTACCATATAGCTAAAAATTGCCATGTAACATGTAGCTAAAATTTGCCATGTACCGTATAGCTAAAATTTTGCCATGTACCATATAGCTAAAATTTACCAGGTACCATGTAGAATAAAAAGGGAAGAAGTTTGCCATGGTCCATATAGCTAAAAATTGTCATGCTCCATAAATTATAGTTGCCATGATCCATCAAACTAAATCGCCATGGTCCAAACAAAAGTAATTTTTGGCCATGTTGTGAACAAAAGAAAATGTCCGTGCTCCATAAATTAAATTTGCCATGCCCTCTCCCGCCTTGCTCCGTTTCCAACATGTCTCCTCATCTCTTTCACATTGCTCTGTCCCCCGCAGGCGTAGCCATGCGCGCACTACTCTCGACCACCCCCCTTTCACCCTTTGCCCACCCTCTCCCTCATCATCTGT